TGCACCTGACGGACGGGTAACACTGCACCTGACGGACGGGTAACACTTCACCTACATTTCTTCCTGTGTGTATTAAGGTTTTGTGTGACTTGTGTACAGGTATGACCACATCAAATCTTCATCCAGAGGAGGTCCAGAGGATCACGCCGGTTTAGGAGGAGCTGGTGCTGTCTTCACTCCACCTTCAGTTAGAGGTGGAGTGAAGAAGACGATGGTCCTCAGAGAACGAGGTGACTAACACACTGCAGTGCTTTCAAATGATACAATACTCTACAATACTCTACTATTTATTTGAGTATTTGTTTCATCTGGACGAGAGTATTTGTCCTCCCACTTTTTAGTTGATATATTAAGGTGACTCTGTTATCGTGATCCCAGCAGCCAGATCGCAGTCGGGTGCACTTAGTATTACTATTAGTCTGGGACGGGGCCTTTTGAGTCTGGGACGGGGCCTTTTGAGTCTGGGACGGGGCCTTTTGAGTCCGGGACGGGGTCTGGGAGGTTGGGTAATTAAAAACAAAGCATTTAGAGTAGTGATAAGAACAACCTAACGATCTAATTCCTAACAATATCTGCCTCTCTCTCCTCCCGTCTCCCTCCCTCCTATCTGTCTGTCTGTCTCTCAGTCCTGGGTGTAGACGGTATGTTTGGGGGTCCACCAGACAGTTTGGGGCCCGAGGTCACGGCGGCGGCGGCAGCTCCTCCTTCGTATGTTCAAGCCATCAGGACGGGTCTGGACGCTTCAGCACAGGAACAAGGTGGGATGAAACTCTGGCTTCTGATTGGCCGGTAGTCGTCTGCGATGTAGATGAAGTGTTTTTACATGTCAACCTGTGCTCTCTGTAGTTCCTCCCCCTGTGGGCGGAGCTTACCAGGACCTCCCCCAGCTGTGTCCCTACGCCGCTGCCGGACACTGCTTCTATGAGGACAGCTGTACGTACCTCCATGGAGACCTGTGTGAGGTGTGCGGGCTGCACGTGCTCCACCCCCACGACCCCGAGCAGAGGAGAGCGCACGAGAAGGTGTGCACGTTAATTTGACCTAATCTGATGGATTAGCTGTTGGCTCCTCATGTTTCAGTTGAATTATTATTATTATTAGGACTTGTGTGAACCATCATGTAAAGCTGCTATGACATTTAACAGTTTTAATTGAATAGTGCAAGCAATAATGTTCATAAACATGATTTCTAATTAATGTGCCACCCTGCGAAATCCTTCAGGCTGAGTTTAGTGTTCGTTGTGTATTAGTAAAAAACTTCGATAAGCAACGTTGTCTTTGTGTCTTTATTCTTGCAAGAAGGTTTTTCAGTTCAACACACAGAACAGAAGAACAACGGGGAACCAGGGAAGAGCTTATTTATACGGTCCAGACAGTGTAGGAACCAGTCTGAACTGGTTGGCCTGTCAGGGTCTGTTGGGTCGGGACAGGAACTGTGAGTTGGGGACAAGGTCTGTTAAGATTGGGACAGGGTCTTTGAGGACCTGTCCGAGTTTGTGAGTGCAGTACAGGGTCTGTTTGGTCGGGACATGGTCTTTGAGGACCTGGCACCGTCTGTTAGGTCGGGATAGGTTCCTTGAGGATCTGACAGGGTCTCTGAGGACCTGACACCGTCTGTTAGGTCGGGACAACTATCCACTATATTGGACCGAATATAAACTAATCCAGGTTGTAGATGGAAGTAAACAAGCCGATGTTCACAGTTGTATCTCATCTAGATAAAACAAATGGTATAATTCAGACACCAAAAATAATATTTACATTTAAAATAGCTTTGGCCCCCAAAAAAGAAGAATCAAAGTCCGTCTCCATTCAAAAACGTCTCCAGTGCGGATTTGCGGCCTGCGTTCGGTACGTAAACAAACTACGACTCACGACCAGTGACGCCGAGCTTTTTATAATTATTTAACTCACAATGAAGTTTATTGTTCCTGTTAAACTGTTGACTGTAATACCCGTCTGTCTGCAGATGTGTCTGCTGGCCTTCGAGGCCGACATGGAGAAGGCTTTCGCAGCGCAGCTGAGCCAGGACAAGGTGGGTTCAGTCGGTCGCTCACATTGGCGACGTATGGCGACAGTAACTGTTGTTGTAACTGTTGCCGTAACTGTTGTTGTTGTTGTTTTCAGGTGTGTTCCATCTGCATGGAGCTGGTGGTGCAGAAGCTGAATCCGTCAGACCGCAGGTTCGGCATCCTGTCCTCCTGCTGTCACACCTTCTGTCTGGCCTGCATCAGACAGTGGCGCTGCACCAGGAACTTCAGCAACAAGATCATCAAGTAAGAGTCCAGTTCAGACGGAACCAGTAGTACGGGACGGGGGATAGGGTCTCTGAGGTCTGGATAGGGTCTGTGAGGTCTGGACAGGGTCTTTACAGGGTCTGTGAGGTCTTTACAGGGTCTGTGAGGTCTGGACAGGGTCTTTAAGGGTCTGTTGGGTCTGGATAGGGTCTGTGTGGTTTGTACAGGGTCTGTGAGGTCTGGACAGGAACTGTGTGTTGGGGACATGGTCTTTAAGGACCTGTCATGGTCTGTGAAGTCGGGACAGGTTCCTTGAGGACGGGACAGAGGCTGTGATGTCGGCACAGGGGCTGTGGGGTTTGGAGAGGTTCATTGAGGATGTGACATGGTATATCGGGTCTGGACAGGGTCTGTGAGGTCGGGATAGGTTCATTGAGGATGGGACAGGGTCTGCGAGGTCGGGATAGGCTCATTGAGGTCGGGACAGGTTCATCGAGGATGGGACATGGTAGTGCTGGTTTTAATTTCCCGTATGATATTAATTTTTCACACACCGTCATACCGGTGCATAGCCTAAACAACTGCTGTCGCTCTTCAACAGGCAGCAAAATATATTGTTCGTCGCTGCGGTCGGAGCTAGTTGTCTTAAGTGTATTGAGAGGGAACTCTAGTCATGGTTATAACTTTATAACAACAATTAAGAACCCACAACTAATGCTCTTTAACACAGTAAAACACCACGACACAACAGTTTGACACATAAACAATCTGTAACACTAATAATTGTACATTTATAAAATTACACCGCCGAACGGCATGCTGGGTACAGCTTGCTGGCTAGCCCGCTAGCACAACAGTGTGTTAACAGCGAGAGGCTCCGTCGCTCCAGTAACGTTACATTAAAGAACAGAACAGAGCGATGCAGGATGAACAAAGAGAGACCAAGAGAGGAGCTGGGTCTGCTGTTTGGAAGTGTTTTAGTTTTAAAAAATCCGACGTAGACCAAAAGACTATATATTGCAAAGTTTGTCGAGCCACTGTTGTTGCAGCTGGTGGTAACACGAGCAACTGTGAGTTGGGGACATGGTCTTTAAGGACCTGTCATGGTCTGTGAAGTCGGGACAGGGTCCTTGAGGACGGGACGGCGGCTGTGATGTCGGCACAGGGGCTGTGGGGTTGGGAGAGGGTCTTTGAGGACCTGTTAGGTACTTTTAGGATCTGACAGCGTCTGTTAGGTGGGTTCTCTGAGTCTAGTACAGGGTCTGTGAGGTCTCTCGCTCTCTCTCTCAGGTCGTGTCCAGAATGTCGAGTTGTCTCAGAGTTCGTCATCCCTTCGGCCTACTGGGTGGAGGACCAGGACGAGAAGGACCACCTCATAGAGCTCTTCAAGTCTGGAGTCAGGTGAGCCAACCTGCGTGTCACTGAGCGGCCGTGCGTTAAGCTATGCTTGGTTTCAAATCTTCAAAATCATGTCTTTGTTGTCTCTGCAGTAAGAAGTCCTGTAAGTACTTTGATCAGGGTCGAGGTTCGTGTCCGTTCGGAGGGAAGTGTTTGTATCTTCACGCCTTCCCAGACGGAACCCGAGCAGAACCCGACCGGCCGCGCAAACAACTGAGCTCCGAGGGGAACGTCCGGGTCAGCAAACCTTCAGCCGCCGCCATTGTGATTCGTAGTTCAGTGCTCCTTTTAGTTTTGTAGTTTTTATAAACTGCGTCTTTTGTTTTTTGTAGTTCATGAACAACGTCCGTCTGTGGGATTTCATCGAGGAGCGCGAGCAGCGGCCGGCCCCGCCGTCCCTGGATGATGACATCACAGAGATGAGGGAGCTCTTCATGCAGATGTCGGGGCCGAGCCACGACGGGCCGGAGACCCCGCCCACCGAGGACCAGTAGAGACCGGAACCGAGTCCTCCGTTGAAGTCCGACCGACGGCGGCCGCGTTTTGTGGGATCGTTTGAAATATTAAATCATGTGATCACTCTGCGGCTCTCTGGTGTGTTTCAATCTGGAAAACTAAATCCCTCGTGTGCACAAGTTTGGTAATTGGTTAATGATATATTGTTACCATTTTATTTATTGTGTAAATAAGTAAATACTGAGTCAGTGTGAAGTCATTCTGTGGTGTTGTTTTAAATTGATCTTCCTCCTTCATTTAGCCAGTAAGGTAGGACAATGTATGATCTTAATTATACGGTGCTCCAAAAAGGAGCATTTAGGTAAACTAGACTTATCTTCCCCACGTTTGTCCTCAGACATCTGTGTTGAATATATGTGTCCTGCCTCAGATGGACGGTATTTGGATTAAATGGGGTTTTTGTGATTTTTTTTTTTTTTTTAATTATGATAAAGAATAATGAATTTCCTCGAGATTAAGATTTTTAAACAGAACTTCAGGTGATTTCAGATTGTAATCGGTTCAGACGTCTTTTTAAAAACGAGACAAAAAAAACACGAGGTAATTATGAAAAATGAGTACATGAAAACAAAAAATAAAATGTAAATGAATAAAATAATTTCTTTTATCAAAGTCATTTGAATCTTTCTTTTATAAATACAGAACCAGAGGGTGTTTGGCTGTAAGATGATTGTGTGTAAAGTGGTTGAAAACAACAGATTTGTGTGTTTTCATGCTAAACCCACAAAAATACTCTCGTATATGTATCTGTCTCCTTATCTCCTTCCTTCTCTAATATCTGCTCAGATTTTCTGTTTCTGGATAAAAATGTGTTTATAAAAAGTAACCTAGCGGGACTTAAATGCTAAACTTCTACATATTTATATAACTGATTCCCGTACTATTAGTCTGAGTATGTTTGAATACTTTTAGTACTTTAAAGGACTTTAACATCCTCGTCTGCTTCCCTGATGACTTCTTTGTGCCAGGAGTTCTTAACACTCACACTAAAGGTCATACTTTTGATTTTGTTTTGTCTCATGGCATAAATGTAGACACCTGTATCTCTGACCACTAATGCTAATTGTTTAAATATGGAGTTGACTTGTGTTTCCTGTAATGCAGTCCCCCGAAAAAACAGATCTAACACCTTTAACTCATCCCTGTTTAGCTGTTCTTTTAAGTTAAAACGTTTGAAAATGATGACAGTATCAACAGAATGTGAAGAGGTTACAGTGTTGACGTTACGTCTGTATATTGTGTGAAATTAGCATGCTAATCAGCTAGCCCCGGCCTGTCCTCTTTTGTAATACCACTTGTACCTCGAGAGGCAATAGTGAGCCAATGTAGCATCTAATCTCTCCTCAGTTCAACATGAGAGGACGAAGAAGCAGAGCGGCAACATCGGGTTGTGAAAAGTGAAGCTGATGCTTCATGTATTAAAGCTGCATTCTCTCTAGTGTCCACCAGGGGGCGACTCCTCTGGTTGTATAGAAGTCTATGAGAAAATGACTCTACTTCTCTCTTGATTTATTACCTCAGTAAACATTGTAAACATGAGTTTATGGTCTCAATCTCTAGTTTCAAGTCTTCTTCAATACAGCATGATGTTCATTTAGTACATTATGGTCCATTTAGAGTCACACAGACCATAAAGCAGGGGATGCTTTAGGGTGGGGCTACACAGTGATTGACAGGTCTTGGAGTCGTCCCTGTTTTTGTCTTGAACTCTTTCACAGTGTGTTTTCAGTCCATAAAAAGATGTTTGTAATGTTAGGGTTGCCAAAAAAATGTCTTCTCCAACTTTCGGTTGTACTTAGCTCCTCCCTCTGGTCTCACTTCTGGTTGCAAAAAAACAAGATGGCGATGGCCAAAATGCTGAACGACGAGGCTTCATAACGACAGTCCACAAACCAATTGGTGACGTTTCTGTGACTACGTCCACTTCTTATGTACAATCATCTAATACACACCATCCCATGTGGCTAGTTATTGTACATTGCACCTTTTAATAAAAAATACAATTCTTTGAGACGTCATCAGCATCAGTGAACAGAGCATGACGCAAACGTTAGCAAGGCAGAGCTGCTAACATTAGCTAAGCTAACAGGACAATATTCAAATGTGACTTTTAGAGCTAAAATACTCTCATGGGTTGGTTCACAATGAATGGAATGCACATGGCTAGCATTGATCTTGGTGAATTGGACTGTTTTTCCAGTGAGGCACATTTACATAGAAAAGGGACAATTTGACACACAATATCTTCATATTACCTCATTTGAATACGTGCAAATAGCACAAGAGCACCAAGCCACTATTTCAATCATGAGAGACAAGTCAGATAAAGAAAAGATAATTGTTTATTGTGAACAAATGATATGTGATGATAAAGTCTTTAGAGTCTTTGGCGCTTGGACTCTACAGGGAAAATTGTAATGGAGGGGCGTCTGCACTGAGCAGCAGCAAGATAAATCCCCCCGTGGAGTCCAGACACTGGTGGTGTTGGTGGCTGATAGAAGGACGAGTTGATGAAGCTGATGAAGCTGATGAACCTGATGAATCTGCGAAGACTGGGCGGTGATGGGGAGGTGGAGGGTTGCGTAACAGCAGCATGAACATACTGAAGGCAGAGAGACGATCATATTTAAGAGAGACATCAGCAAGATGATAGGCCAACGATGTCATTGTGTCGTTGTGCTATTGGATAGAAGAGACCAGCTGATCTAGACAGCTGATATCATGATCAACAGCCCCGAACAATAACAGCAATCAAATAATGAGTGTGCAAGCGTGAGGAGTGATAGGCAGCTGTATGGGAAATAAACTACGGGTCTAGGCATGCGAGAGTATAGTCTTCCTGATTGAACTTACGCTAGGGCTAGTGGTAGCGCAGTTAATGGTGTGTTTTGACCTTTTGCGACTGCTTTGAGAGTTTAAAGGCCTAAAGGCCTAAAGTTAATCCTTTTGTGAATTCTCCCCTCAGTGTTAAAAGTGTGACACAAACATTATTTCAGGAGTATCTTTTGTCCTGGAGATGACTTCTCAGCTGTCACCTTTAATTTCATTAATCCAATCAGAGCATCTTAACTCCTCACAGCTGAGAGCAGAGAGTCAAGCAGGAACAGGTGGCTGGGACACCTCCTCCACCACCTCCTCCACTTTCTTACAGTCGAACACTTGTTTCAGCTTCTCTCTTTCCTCCCCGGCTGAGTTCTGGTTTGCTGTTATGAAGCTGCCTCACGGTTCGGTGGGCTAAAAGACCCCAGCGACCGGGCTGTTAGGCTGCCAGGTGGCGGGAGGAGGAGTAGGAGGAGGAAGAGGAGGAGGAAGAGGCGGCCGGGGCTGCTGGGAAAAATAAGTCGTGCAGGAGAGGACAGAGGGCAGAAAGAAGGCTGTGTGGACTGTGAACCTGCTGCAGAGGACTGGGAAGAATGGGAGCTGCGTATGGAAAGAAGGTCAGTCACTGGTCTAAATATAGTTTGACAGTGTTACAGTCGATTGTTTACTTTATCTACAGCCTGGTTATCAGTGGTGGAATGTAACCAAGTACATTTACTCAAGTACTGTACTTCAGTACAAGTTTGCTTTACTTTAATATTTCCATGTTATGCTACTTTATATTTTTACTCCACGACATCTCTGAGGGAAATATTGTCCTTAATTTGTCTGACAGTTTTTGTTACTTTGCAGATTATTAATGCAAAATATAACAACCTAGTGTTAATTATTTTAGATTAAACTGTCCAGCAGTATATGAAGTAATTAAAATGAGCTCCACTTTTAGCTGCAACGTTAAAGCGATGAACACATTAATGCATCAATAATTATCATACAATTACGCAATATCTATTATTCTGCATAATGAGTATATTTTGGTGCTGATATTTGTGTGTTTTTACTTAAGGGAGATTTTGACACTGTGGTACAAGTACTTTTACTAAAGTAAAAGGTCTGAGTACTTCTTCCACCTTTGGTTTCCAGTTTGTTCAGAAACGGAAACACACGCTGACCTGATGAATCTGGACTTTAGGTTGAATTAGAGCTGAAAACGACCAGCTGATTTATTTATTGTGTTGATGATCGATTAATCATTGAAGCTGAAGTGACAAAGATTCACTGGTTCCAGTAAACTGAGTCTCAAACAGAAGTGATGGCGTTTTACATAATCAAATAAATAATCACCAGATTAATAATGAAAGTAAATCTTTTTTTCATTTTGATGATCAGAATAAACATAAACCAGTTAAATCTATTCATTCTTTATTTATTTAATCTTGATAGTTCATTGAGAGCAGTCTCGAATAAACAGAAGATACAAAACATAAAGGAAAAGTCAGTCAATCAAATAATTTAAAAGCAACTGCAGACTGAGGGGAAACGCTAACACCAGCACGCTAACACCAGCATGCTAACAGATGTTCACATTAATCACAATCCATCCGAAAAAATGTGAATCTTGTTGTTATTATTTGATAAATGATTTATTCTGGTAACTGTTCAGTTATCTTCTCTCTCCAGACGGCTGGAGGATAAAAAGGATAAAATGTTGATGGGATGATGAAAATGAATGAATTACGATTTTAAGTCAAGATACAGAAAGTTCATCACTCTCTAAGTCAAAATAGTGAGGTACTAGAATTTCAGTCAGTATTATGACTTTTTTAAAGATTTTCAAATGAAACGAAAATGATTTTTGTTGTTATTTTTACAGCATAGATAGACAAGCCTTAAATTACAGTTATGCCTTATGATAGAGTTTCTCAAGCTATGACTCTGGACCCATTGTGTTGTCATTTGATGTGCAGACGAGGTCAGAGAAGATTTCTTACAAACTCATAAAGTTTGATCCCACACGAAATCTCTCCATGAGCCACTTGCATGCTGCAGAGCTATATTTAAATCCACATTGAGAACATGACACCGTGACCCTCTGATTAAAGATATTCTGGGATGTAACCACAGACTGTTTATGAGAATTGGACGAAGTCATTGTCTCGATGCCACAAGTTTGGCGATTTTGCTTTCGCCATATTGGATTATGGCTGTTGTCATGTTGTTTTTTTCACTACCAATGAACGGAAGTTACTTTATCTGGACTGAGGAGGAGTGACGTAGAGACGTCGTATACGTCTCTGGCAGAGACCTGTCAATCACAGTAAGCCCTGCCCTAAAGCATCCCCTGCTTTATGGTCTGTGTGACTCTAAATGGACCATAATGTACTAAATGAACATCATGCTGTATTGAAGAAGACATGAAACTAGAGATTGAGACCATAAACTCATGTTTACAATGTTTACTGAGGTAATAAATCAAGAGAGAAGTAGAGTCATTTTCTCATAGACTTCTATACAACCAGAGGAGTCGCTCTGGTTGTTAGAGAGAATGCACGTTTTAAGACACGATTGGATTCACTCGGCAGAACCGGAGGTTGCCGCCTGCTTCCGTAGTTATTTTAACCCAAACCACGACTTTTTCCTAAACTGAATCAAGTAGTTTTCTTGCCTAAACAAAAAAAAGTATTTCATGATCTTTTCTTAAACGTAACTAAATAAGTTTGCTGTCTAAACCTAACTGAGGTGTTTCCTTTTGGAGACGGAATGTATCTTCACTGTATGGATGTAACGAGCGGAAACGGACGCATGTTGTTGGAGTTTTGTAGGAAAATGCACGAAAAATGTAGAGTAAATTTTTTGCAGGATATCATGCGAACTGTTGTATGATACGTTTCAGTGATAGTTGTCTGTACATCCATCGGAGCTGCTGATAGATTATTCTGCAAACTTTTAAAGAAGACAGTTTGACTGCAGACACACATGCAGCTTTATTTATTTATTTGTATTCATATTTATGTTACTTTCCACCTTCAAAGTTCAGCAGCATCTTCAGTGTTTCCGGCAGCACCACTGGTGGGTGTGGTCGGACACTTGTAACCACACCCATCAGTGATGATGCCAAGTCCTGGAGTACACCGTGACATCACGGTGAGAAGTGAAACCAATGCAGGTCAGTGAAGACCAGGCACTGAGTTGTTATTATGGGATGGTATTACAGTTATTATGAGCTGCTGAGTGACTGAAACGTATCCTGAATAACTGTGTTCAGTGTTTTCATACCAATGAAACCAGGAAGTATTCAGATTCTTTACTGCTATAAAAGTACCATATTAGAAAAAAATACTCTTACAAGTAAAACTTTCAAGTGTAATCAGGAAAATATGAAAGTATTTTAAGTATGAAAGTGTCCCCTGGAACTATTATACTAATATATGTTCTCTTTAGATTATTATTTCTTATGCATTAATGTAAATTAACATTGTTAACAATATTACCAATTAATTAACATTATTAATATCATTACTAATACATTAACATTATTAACAGTATCCCCAATTAATTTAGATTATCACTAGTACATTTACAGTATTTAAAATACATGTACATTATTAACATTATTATTAATACATTTACATTATTCAAAAGTGAAAGCAGCAAATCTGAACCATAAACCCTTTTTACAGGAAAAAATACTTCAACAATCAAAAATAGTTTCCCTTTCTGTCAATTGACTAATTGATTAATCAACTAATCGTTTCAGTTGTACTCAATCACACTTAATTATAGGTTAAATACATACAAATTGTTTGGGAGTTTAATTCATAACAAAACATCAGATTTTATAACTCTTAAACATTTAAGGTTTTCTAAATGTTTTGATTTGTAAAGTACCTGAAGCTGTAGTGAAGTAGAGGCATAAACAGCATAAGTACCTTGAAGTACTTGAACTTGACCTCGCTCCTCTTTGTGGATTCCTCGAACTATTTGAGCTATGGGGGGGGGGGGGGTGACACACCTGTTGACGTGAGCGTGTTTGGGTGTGTTTGTTGCCACAGTGACCAGTGACAGCTGACAGCAGGGTGCCGGGTATGGGGGGGGGGTCATGACGTCCCGCTCAGATCGACTCACGAGTCTATTTTTAGTGGAGTTCCCCGTCAGCAGCAGCAGGTGGAGAGATGAGAAGCTGCAGACTCACATCCAGACTCATCATGCAGCCGTTTCATACCAGAGAAACTGACTTTATTAATTACTTTTAAAGTACTAATGAAAAAAATAATGTTCATGTCAAAATGTTAAATCTTTACAAAACAAAACAAATTGGTGAAAAAGCAATATTAAAAAAAAATACAAGGAGAGAATAAATTGATTTCATATCTCTAATTAACTGGTTCTCATGTCGTATAGGGATATTTTCCAACATGTGAGATGGAAGGAAGGTTTAAACTGTCACATTATTTATTCCAAAGCGTTAGAATTAACTAATATTAAACTAAGAACTTAACTAAAAACTGCAGTGTGTGTGTGTGTGTGTGTGTGTGTGTGTGTGTGTGTGTATCTGCAATCTGGATCTGTGGATCACCTCAAACTAAATTAAATCTAAACTGTCACATTATTTATTCCAAAGCGTGAGAATTAACTAATATTAAACTAAGAACTAAACTAAAAACTGCAGTGTGTGTGTGTGTGTGTGTATCTGCAATCTGGATCTGTGGATCACCTCAAACTGAATTAAATCCAAACATGTGTTACGTTGTTTACGTTCATTGTGGTAACTTTGGGGGCGTGGCTTCGGAGGGAGGTCTGGATGATGTCAGCGATGACGACTTGAGTTAGAAACTTCTCATAGCTAGTGCTGCTAGCTTCTTTGACTGGGAAAGAGTTGGAAACACTGAGCTGAGTTTTGAGTTGGATAATTAATAAAGATATAGTCTTGTTTCATAAGATTACCTTTAAACGGTCCGTTGTTCATTTGATGCATTTTTATTGACTTTCTCTGCATTCGTCCTCATAGATTCATGGAGTCTTTTTATTCAGCTATAAGTCTGACTTCTCATTTTGTCAACATATAATCAAACAATGCTATTGTCTCGCTGTGCATACGAACAAATACAATTCAAGAAGTAAAACTAAAATACAGTTTGTTTACATGTAGAGTGACGAATATATTGTTGTTTATTAAAGGAGAAAATCAAGTAATCTGATTGGTTTATAGCAGTGATATAAAACCCACATACCGCTGTTATAATGATTAGTTCCTTTACACTTTCAGTATCACCAAAGTGTGACTGAGAAAAACACATAAGTAATGTAAATTAAGTAAATGAATCACAAAAATAGAAACATGCTAACGCTAGCTGCTAACGCTATAACGCTAAATATATATATCAAAGCTTTTCCGCGGAGAATAGCAAATTATCTTTCACAGTTGATTTTATACATATATATATGTATATATATGTATGTATGTATATATATATATGTGTATATATATGTATGTATGTATATATATATGTGTGTATATATATATATATATATGTATGTATATATATATGTGTGTATATGTATGTATGTATGTATGTGTATATATATATATATATATATATATATATATATATATATATATATAT